AACACCTTAATGGATCCCAAATATATTCAATCGTCCTCTGCTGCTTCACTGCCATCTCTTCATTTCCAGCTGTCTGAGCTCTGACACAGCCTGGCCAAAGCCCTCTGAGGCTGAGGAGGGACCATGGCGGGCTAGGAACGTGGTGACAGCAGCACAAACAAGCCATGTGACTGACTCCTCTTTTAAACTTTTCCAGATGCACAGCCCTCAAAGTGCTACCCTTAAAAGGAAGTTTTCTTTTTATGCTGTGGGATCTGAACCCTTGTTTACACTACCTCAGCAGGAGAACTTTTCAGGAGATTCTAGAGGGATTTAGGAGCTGACACAGCCTTTCTTTTCAAAAGCACATTTTCTTTTTTTTTGTAAATAACAAGTCTGTTCTGGCAAGCCTACAACCTCCTGTGCTATCATGGAGAGGTCTCTTATTAACTACTCCCACATGCATGGGAAGTGAGTGAAAGAAGTAAGGAGCAACTGGATTTCTGCCCCAACTGTAGAGCAGTTTAAGAAAGGCCCCCTCTATTCCTCCACTGTTCTCTGTGCAGGATCTAGCATGACGCTATGAGCTGGACAAGGGATTGGTGCAGAACATCAGCATGGCAAGATGCCCAAGGGCACTCAGGATCCAAGACTTCCTACAATCCAACACTAATACATGCTCAGTCCACACTGTGATACCCACAACAGAGACCTGACTCCAGAAAGGCCTGGAAGCTGTGTGTGCCCCCTATAGCCCAGGTCACTGTCTCTGGGCAGAGCTTAAAGGCAGGGCCTGTTGAAAGTGGAGACTCTCACCCCACGGCCAACTAGGCAGCATGTGCCTCCTGCTGGACAGGACCCTACTAAAGCATTTGATTCCCCCAAAATCAGGATTCCCAGAAAGGAGGACTTCAGTCAGCAACCAGGAAAAAAGTTTTGAAAATGGCATCAACAATTGGATCCTACTAAATTTATTTCAAGCTCACATTTGAGTGTGAAGCCATATCTTATGCCATCCTCATGATCTTTGATACGATGGAGCCCACTGCTACAATCACTGTGTTAATCTATCTCATCAGGGTCTTCCTGTCATTTCCAAGAAGTAGCCTCATCTTAAACATGCCCAGAGTAGATGAGTTGAAGCTTTGTCATCCTTGCCTCCAGGGAGCACTCTGGCTGCACTTTCTTCCAAGAATTTCTGGTCATTCTTTTAGTAGTCCATGTGATATTCAGTACTCTTTCCAACACCATACCTCAAAGTTCTTTCATCCTTATTCATTATTCAACTCTCAACAGCATAGTAAGAGATCAAGTCAGACCATGGCCTGAATCAGGTGCACCTTAGTCAGAAGCTGACATGACTGTTCCTCAATAATGTGGAGAAGTCCCTGCCCGTGCAATACATTTCCTGATTTCCTGACTGCTGGTACAGAAAGTATTGGCTATAATACTTAGAAATAATTGACAATTTTAATCTTTTTACCATCAATCATAATATTCTCTACTGGCCCAGTGGTAAGGACCTTTGTCTTCTTGATGTTGAGATGTAATCCATACTGAAGGATGTAATCTTTGATTTCCTGAAGCAAGTGTTTTTAGGTCTTCTTCACTTTCAGCAAGCAAGGCTGTGTCATCTGCCAACACAGGTTATTGATGAGTTTTCCTCAAATCTTGATGCCATATTCTTCTTCATAGAATTTAGCTTCATAAATTATTTGCTCAGCATCCAGACTGACCAGGTATGGAGAAAGGATACAACCCTGACACACATCCTTCCTGACTTTAAACCATAGTGTTTCTTTGTTGTCCTTCAGACAATAGCCTCTTGGTCAAGGTACAGATTTCATATGAACATAATTAAGTTTTCTGGGGTTTCCATTCCTCTCAATGTTAGTCATAGTTGGTTGTGCTTTACATAGTCAAATACCTTTGCATAGTCAGGAAAACACAGGTAGACATTCTTCAGGATTCTCAGCTTTCAAAGAATCACCTGCCACCAGTGATGATAGCTCTGGTTCCACAGCCTCTTCTAAACCCATCTTGGACTTCTGGCAGTTCCCTGTCAATGTACCAAGCTATCCACTTTTGGATGTTTAACATATTTTGTGGGCATGTGGTATTTGTGATATTGTTTGATAATTTCTACATTCTGTTGGGTCACCTCGCTTGGGAATGAGATAAAACACGGATCTCTTCCAGTCAGTCAACCAGACAGCTGTCCTCCAAATTTCTTGGCACAGACTGGTGAGCACGTCCAGTGCTGCATGTGTTTGCTGAAACATGTCAATCAGTATCCCATCAATTCCTGGGTCCTTATTTTTTGTCAGTGTCTTCAGTGAAGCTTGAACTTTTTGTTTTGTTCATATAACACTTTTTGAATTTTTTCAGTGTCGACCAATTCTTTTTAGTACAGTGATTCTGTGTATTCCTTCCATCTTCTTTTGATGCTTCCTGGATCATTCATGATTTTGCCCATAGCATCTCTAAGTTTGAGGCTTGAGTTTGTTTTTAAGATCTTTCAGCTTGAGAAAGGCCAAGTGAGTTCGTCCCTGTTTATTCTCTCTTTTTTCACATTTCATTATAGTACTTTGCTTTGGCTTCTTGAGCTGCCCTTTGAAATCTTCTGTTTAGCTCATTTATTGAGGTAGCTTTTCCCTTTGTTTTGGCTTCTCAATGCCTTAATGTAGTTTTAAGACTTTCTTCTGATATTCATTCTGGTTTATTCTCTTTCCTCTGACTTTGGAAGAACCTTTTGCTGTCTTCATGGATGACATCCTTCATTCCATTCCACAGCTCCTCTGGTCTTCAATTGGTAACCAATTCCTTAAACCTGTTCTTAGGATGACTTTTTAATTCAGGTAGGATAGACTCAAGGTCATATACTGGTTCTTGTGAATTTGTTTTAATCTTCTTTAGTTTCAATTTGGGTCTGAAGAGGTCTAGGATGGATCCTGTTGTCAAATTAGTGTGGACTCACCAGTTCACCACAGCTTAAATCGGAAAATGTGACAGGTGCCAGTTTAATTTAAACACTCACTGCCCTGGTCCTGCCTGTCTTGGTTTCTTGAGCTTAGATCTATGTCTGAGTTTTCTGTGGTTCAGAGTGAGTGAGGACGTGGCCACTCCCAAGGCAGCCCGCAGCACAATCCGGCATCGCTCAACAGTGGCATGCTCTCGGTGCTACATTGGGCATTATACCTCTCCAGGTTTCCAGTTTAGGCTTCTGGGACCACATATCTTCCACTCTACCTACACTCTGCAAGGCATCTCCTGAGGTGTTGGCAAATTTCCTCTACTCTAGGATCAACATCATCCATTCTTTCATGTCTTAGAACAAGAACCCTTCTCCCAGAGTAATTCCTTCCTACAAACTGACCAACACATTCCAGACAGCATCGATACTCCCTTAGAAACCAACCAGATGCCATTCATTGTTCTTTATCAAAACCCAAATTCACCGATGCTGAGTCAACAGCAGCTCATAGCATCTAACGACGGAGTAAAACTGCCCCATGGGATATCCAAGGCCGTTAAGTCTCTACAGGAGCAAGTCATCTCATTTTTCTCCCTTTGAGCGGTTTGAACAGTTCATCTTTTGGTTTTCTACGAAGTCCTTAACCACCCATACTCCAAGCATTCTTTGATTAGAAGGGAGGAAAAGTTTGTCACTGGGATTCCAGATAACAAGGCAGAAACACCCTGACTGAAGGATGCAATATCCAAGCCTAACCTCTTCATGCAACTTCCTGAGTTCCTGTGCCTTTCCCAGAGCTTCACAGGCACAATCAATTAATACCCAAACATCAGTTGTCTGGGGGTGCATCAAGTTTCTCAAAGAGCTCCCCAGAGTCAAACGAGAAAGCACATAGCCAATCTAGCTCTCGCCAAGCTCTTTCCATGTGAGCAAAACTCACACCTACCTTTGTGGACTGTTTCCAAGCTTGTCAGAATGCTACTACCTCTAGGTGCCTCTGTTACCAGACCCACACATTTTATGCAAATTCAATGCGTAAATTCATTACTTATATTTTGGCTCTGAAGGAAGATCTTTCCTGAAAGGCTGATAAGAGTACAGGCACCGTGGGGGTCCACAGGCAGCATAGTAAGCCATAATAAGCATAGGCAAGGAGGCATGGGGTGTCAGAGTCAACACCTGAGGCTGCTAGCTGTCCCCCTTCCTGCATTTACCCCTGAGCAGTCCTGACCCCCAAGAAATCAGACTGAGCCATCTGACCCCTAGGTAGTCAGCAGGTGCCTGAGTTTAGCATGACTCCTCCTCTGACACAGAAAGATGAGGACTTCCGCAAAACGTCATCTCCTGATCCTGGAGCGAGTTCTCCACCCAAGAGGGTCTTTCCCTACCAAGGCTGAGCTACATGGTCGCAAGGCCTCATATACGTTCTCATTCTCAGAGAGAATGCTGGGATTCACAGTGGTGAAGGTGCTCAGAGCTTTCTACAGGAAGGTCCACTAGACCAGGTCCAGTCCACACTGATACAGGTTACAAGTCTGACCCCTACTCTTTATGACTCTTCTAAACATGTTATAGAGAACAAACCTGGAAGGTCACCACAGGGACAGCGATATGCTGGCACTGTCCACAAGAACAGGTCCAAGGTTTGCCCTGCACCATCCGTGAAGGATCCCTGACCATAAAACCTCATGTGTACTGACCACGACTGGGGAGGTCCCGGAATTTGACTTGAGGTATCTGTGCTGAGAAATGACTGTATAAACTGTGAACCAGAACTAAATGACTGAGGGATAACCTTTTCTTGAATTACTGTTCTGTGGGAGAAGGATGGGCAGTCTCTTCTGTGGGATTCACGGCCCTAAACACCCGCTGGAGGGTCAGCCACAAGCAGATTCTGACTCGATGGCACACAGCAAACATCAAACCACTAATCCCAGTGCCCATCCCGAACTGTTTGTGCCCACACTTAGTAATCTCAAATGACATAGAACACAGTTATTCATGAAAAAGAGTCAGCAGAATGCTGCTGATCCCTGTAGATACATACAGCATGTCGGGGCAGTTGTCCGGCTTGTCCAGAAGGCCACCTTCCATTACAAAACGCAGGACTTGCTCATTGGACAGGCCCTGGTATGGCTGCTCGGCCAGAGTGGCAATCTCCCAGAGAACCACCCCGAAGGACCTGTGGAAGAAAAAGTGGTGAGCACTTGGGAAAGGCATGGACAGACCAACACCTAAATGTCCTCTGACCTGAGACTCAAAATGCATCCTCATTGTGACCCTGTTATGCACCATACAGTAGGCATCAGGTTATGTGTCTAGAGCTGCCCTCAGCTGTAGATATAGATGTTTCCTATAATACAAACTCCGATGCACAACTGAGGGGATGAAAGCTGCACACATAGTAAAGAAGTCCCTGCTTGGGCACATGGAGTTTAGGACTTAGCCCCAGTCACTTAACAGTGCCTCCCAAACAGACTTTCTCTCAAGAATCATGCAGTATGTATCTGCAAGAACCTGCCTGGATGTTGGCTTAGAATTTCAGACGATTTCAGACTTTAAAACATGCTGATGACTGGGTTCCGAGTTCTTATTTCACAGGTCTGAGACATGGCCTGTGTTTTGGAATAAGGAGAAACTCTATAGAGATCCTGAAGTCCAACAGGGCCAAGACAAGAGGCTCCACCCCTTCATCACCTGAGTCAGCTGTTCAGGAAGGGAATGAATACATTTTTTTTCCCTGTGGGTTGCCAAGTCCCCAGTCCTTCGCCTAGAGGGCACACCTTCTACCCCAAACAAGCTATTTTAGAGAGACAAGATGCTGTAAAGGAGTGATCATAGGACCCAAGGCCAGGCCAAGAGCTCCAGCAACCACAGGATGCTCTGGAGGAATTTAGCCCAGAGGAGAGACCGTGAGCTGAGTGACTTGAAAGCCTAACATTAAAAAATAGTAAAGTGCACAATTTCCTGACAGAGAGAAGAGGTGTCACAAAGATTCCATGTGAACATGGCATGAGGAAGCCTTTTTAGGAACAGTCTTGAGCTCAGGAGGGCCTATCTTAGTGAAAGAGCCAATACACACTCTTTGGGAACATCGAACAGAAGCTCACCACAGCCCTGTAAATACGACATAGGACACCTGACCTCAGAAAGGCCTTCCAATTCTCAGACTCACACTCTCTGCTCTCTGGCTACTTCTACAAATTCAAATACAACTCTTTGTATTGCATTCTATATTTTAACTATTCAAACTAAACACATTGTGATATTTAACATAATTATGTCCATTCTTTCAAAAATAACAGCTTCATTTTAATGGGAAAACAGTTGAGAAATTTTCCATACACTCCAGGTCCCTGGCATTCTGTACCTGCACTGTCCTTAAGGGTTAAAAACAAACAAAACCAAACCGTAAAGCACAATCAATGGCTGAAAAATGGAATGAACATCAAATGTTTCCTCTCTCTCTCTCTCTCTCTCTCTCTCTCTCTCTCTCTCTCTCTCTCTA